TGTCTGGCTATGAAGGTGGTGTGACATGGATACAGGGACCACAGGCTGCACTTCCTGGAAGATGGACTGCTGTCCAGGGAAGGGTTGAACCTTACAAGGAGTGGAAAGAAGGTGCTTGGCTACAGCATGAAGAAATTTATCAAGAGGCTTTAAACTGAGTCCTGCAGGGGAAGGAGAAGTACACCTGGGCATAACAACCAACGAAGGCTTATGCACCACAACAGAGAGAGCAGCTCTAATAATGCCCAATAATAGTCTTCCAAAGCATGCAAGAAGAAAGCTAGAGTATAAAGCACACAGTCCTTGATGTCGATATACCAATGCTGGAGTATGGGAAAGAAACAGGATGAACTTGAACTCTTCATACAAGATGGTGAAGTCAACCTGCTAGGTGTATCCAAAATGAGGGGGAATGACTCCCATGCTTGGAATTCAACAACTGACGGGTATAAGCTATGCTGGCCCTGTCTTCTCCCAAAAGAGGTTCTATGACCTTCCTGATGAAGTGAAAGTACAAACTGAAGATGCAGGATCACAGCCCAAGATCGCCCAAGGATCATCTAATCAGGCTGAATGGACAAGGATAATGTAATTAAGTTGAATGAGTTCAAATCTCCAGGGTCTGAAAAACTTCAACCTAGAGCATAAGGGAGCTGGTTGAAGAACTCTCAGAACTACTGTCTATTAGCTAAACTGAGGCTTGGAAGCCACATGCAGCTCTTTGTGTTGATTTTGTGGCTCACCGCTATCTGCTGCAAGCATCATGGATGCCTGCTTGCCCCTCGTCTCCTGCTGCCACCTGTGGGCATGTGCGTGTGGTTCTGAAACAACTGACATTTACTGTATGTAGTTCTTCAGCTGAGCAAGTCTGGCCACCCCGGTCTATTATGTTTGAGAAATAATGGATGACAAGGGAAGTGCTAGATGACTGGAGAAGGGATAATGCTGTCCCTGTCTTCAAGAAAGGAAAAAAAGAACCTGAGCACTACAGACCAGTCAGTCTGAAATCAATCCCTGGGAAAATTCTGCAACGGAGTATAAAGCAGTCAGTCTGCAAACACCTTGAAAACAGTGCAAGAAGCCTAGAAGCCAACGTGGATTTTCCAAGAACAAATCCTGCCAGACTAATCTGATTTCATTTTTTTATTGGGCAACCCCCCAGATGAACTGTGGGAATGCTGTTGACAGCATATATCTTGTCTTTAGCAAAGTTTTTGCCAAAACGTTCCATGATATGTTAGTTCCAAATGTTAGTTTGCTAGCTAATTAGCAAACTAGCTAAAAGTGGGCTTGATGGAACCACTAGCAGGTGGATCCACATCAACAACACTTTCTCATACTAGGGGGAGGTAATAAGTGGGGCACCTCAGGGTTCTGCTGTTCAACATTTGTATGAATGATCTGGATGAGGAAATGAAGGAAATGCTTATCAGATCTGCATATCACACAAGACTAGGTGGGATAGCTAATACCCTAGAAAATACTAACAAGATCCAAGGTGATCTTGATAGGCTGGCACACTGAGCTGAAAACAAGAGAATGAAATTCAACAGGGACAAATGTCAAGTTCTGTACCTAGGAAAAAGAAATCAAATGCATTGAGACAAAACAGGGAATACTTGGCTCAGAAATACTGCAGGTGAGAAGGATCTTTGGACTGTTGAAGATCACAAACTGAATATTAGTCAACGAAGTGATGTGGTTGCAAAAATGGCAAATGCTATTTTAGGTTGCATTGATAGAAGTATCACTTCCAAATCTCATGAAGTACTGGTTCCCCTTTACTCAGCAGTAGTTAGGCCTCATCTGGAATCCTGTGTCCAGTCCTGGGAACTAGAGTTTAAGAAAGATACAAACTGGACAGGCTTAGGAGGAGGCAACAAGCGAAATTGAAGAACTGGGCATGTTTAGATTCAAGAAGACTGAGGGGAAATATGATAACATGCTTCAAGTACTTGAAATGTTGGCTTAGGCTTAGGCAGGACATGATCTCTTCCGGGTCATCCCAGAGTGCAAGACATAGAATAATGGGCTCAAGTTACAGGAAGCCATGTTTTCTCTGAACAGCAGGACTGTTAAAGCAGTGCAAAGATGGAACAAACTATCTAGAGGCATTGTGGGTTCTCCCACACTAGAAGCATTCTAGATGCAACTGGACAGCCAGCTGATAGAGATGACTTAACTTGGTGCCCTGCCCTGAGCAGGGTGTTCACCCTGACGGCTCTTTCAGCCTCTTCCAAGTCTCCTATTCTATGATTCCTGAAAGTGAATACATTGTTAACACAAATAATTTCTGTGCACCCTTCTGGCAGCTGACAGACTGCTATAACGACATTGGAAGGATAAAAGCTCACTTCCTATAATGCAACAGACTGAAGACCTTACAGTGTTTTCAGCATTTCAATATGTTCTGTATAGATGCCACATGAAAATGGATACTTATTTAAATATTTCATTTGCTTTCATTTAAATTTATGTACAGTTCTTAGAAACCTATTATTTCTGGAAATACACACATGGAGAGACACTTCATGTGTAGTCATTCAAATGGAGACATTCAATCTATGTAGACTCTACTCTGCTGCTGCTGATGATGATGATGAATTGCCAATACAGTACCTGAGATGTTGAAGGGAATAGTTATATATCAGTCACCAAGCTGAGTTCACTTTGTTGGGGCAGAACCCCTGGGACCACACCACATCTTTCACTACCCATAACCAATAAAGGGGAGTGGCCCCAGTGTCAGTGGGGTGGCATAATCACTCTGACTTACAGACTGAACCCTCAAGGAGCTATCCCGAGTGCTGAATGTATCCCCCAAATGGCTTCACTGCCTGGGACAGCTTCATAAAAGTCCAGACAAAAGCTCAGAATGACTACACTGCCCCACTGGCATTGGAGTGATCAGTCTCCATTGATCCATTGGAGTGATCAGCTGCCCATAACAACCTAAGGAAGCGTTACTGGATCAAGCTGGAAACCGATCCAGTCTGGGATCCTGTTTCCTCTACAGATCCCTGTGGGACTCCCACAAGCAGGACATGAATGCAGCAAGACATTCTCACACAAGTGTTACTGGGGCAGCCTGCCTCTGCTCCTGGCAGCGGCATGTAGCCACCATGACCAAGATAGCAGTAGAAAATGCGGATCATGTACTGACATCATGGTATCATCATACTCGGGGGTTTCTTGCCACCCTCCCCAGGTGAGAGCCATCAAAGAGAAGCTGGGGCAGGAAACCTCTGAGCCTGATGTCATACATTTTGTATTATCATCTCTGGCTGGGGACTCCCGGGGTAGCCATGCAGCCTCTCTATTTTCTAGATATGGCCTCAGCAACACCCTTTCCACACCTGGGGGAAATGAAACAAGGCCAGCTGGAAGCACAGCATCTCATGCTAATGGCAAGCGTTACCTTCTGGGCATACACACTTTTCTTGCTTAGCTAAGCAGACTTGGGTGAAACCAAGAGAATCCAACTATTCATTCATTTCACATTTGATATATGAAAACGAATCCTTATTTAAATTCATGCCTGGAAGTATTAGCTCAGGACACATTTAGCACAAAACTTGGTACGGCCTGAGGGAATACTCCTGGGTACAAATTTCTGCTGCTTGAATCACAGACAGAACTCTCCTTGAAGATAACAAGAGCCATAGATGCATATCAAATATCAGAATTTAGCCCTGGGGGTCAGGCATTGCCCTCAATTGCCATATGTATCTCCCTGTTCTGCCATTTTGTAATGCTAATTCCTCAGTCTTCGTTTTTATTTTTTTGTACAGCCCAGTGAGTGATGTCTTCCTTCACTGCTGTCAAAAGACGAGATGGAAATAAAACCATTCTGAAGGTAGATTTCTTTAAAGATGAGGGAATCCTCCTGTTATCCAGTGAAGAATAATGAGACAAAATCTTTTACCAATAACATCTAGTAGAAATTCAGTTTCTCCTCTTCCCTATCATCCTCTTAGGGAAAGGATCACACAGATGTGATGAGCACTTGGCGTTTGGATGGACCAGAATTGGGCTTGGGATAAGCACACAATTAAAGCATCGTGTATAGCATGTGCAACACATTTGCAAAGCCCACAAGTCAAGTGTGCAGAAGTAGAACCACTCTCATGAAATATACATATTCATCTGTATTGTTAGATGGAACAATTGGGCTTGCTTTCCGCTGGATGCCAGTGCAAGCTTTCATTCCGAGTCAGAGGGAAAGTGGGACAAATGCTGAGAAGCCCAGGTCAAGAAGGTCCCACGGATTCCCACCTCCAAAACAGATTGCTCACACAATGCTATTTGCCACCATGTCCTCTTCCCCAACACCTGCTGTCTGAGGCCACTAAAGGTACGGCAAGCCCTCTGTGTCGCTGCACACTAACACAACCATTCATCTGAAATTAGTATTGCATGTCTTCCTCCTAAGAACATCAAAGAGAGTATGAGAACGCTGCACTGATTTTTCTGACGGCAGTTTGTATGAGCTTTACATCAGATGCCTATTACTAGAATTCAGGCTCCATCTACAGTCCCATTTCTCATTTCCACCAACAAATTTGACCCGCTGCAATCCAGGAAGTTGTAATGGCAATCCCGTGCCTGCCATAATGATTCACCCTGCATATATTACTGATACTGCAGGACATTTCCACATTAATCTCCCATTGATTTGAGAAAAAATCATGTTAAGGATGCTGTGCAGAGTAACCACGAAGACAAAGCTATAGATGAAGTCTATGGCTCAATGTTTCATTAAGAAGAGAGTGAATCAGAATGTGGCCTTTACTGGATATTCAATTACAGACTAAATCTTAAAATCATTATCCAGGAAAACTCAAATTGACTTCATTAAGGTTTGCTAGAATGGAGACTGAGAATCATAACAATAACAAGATCTTTCAGAGCTGTCTCATTAAATATTGTCAGCTCCTGGCATGTATATTTTTAACAAGGTATATTCTCCTCTTTGTTTTAATTGATTACATTACAATTACCTGTTGCCGAATTTCTTCTTCCATTTTCACAGGTGATCCCAGCTCTGCAACTTGTTTAACTCCCTCACTCGCATATCCTCCATATTCCCAAAGTACATAGTGCTTTGAATGAGATCCGCCAATGATTGCAGACCAGTGGTTGGCTCGTCCTTTAATCAAAAACGATAAAAAAATCTATTAAGCATTTATGGAATAGTGTATTGTCTCCTTCAACTGACCTTTGACTCCATAGGAATGGAAAAGAGACCTACTCATAGTAGACAAAAATACCCCATCATGCCACTAAATACCCTTAAATGCTACCTGGGAAAAGGTCATTTTAACCTTGTGCCAATCAGACGATAGAGTTGATGCCAGGTTTCCTCAGGGGGGCAATCAGTCCATAATTGTGGGGCCACCACTGAGGAGGTCCCCTCTTGACACCACCCTGTGATACCACAGGTGGCACTCAGAGGAGGGATTCAGAAGTGGGTTATATTGTCCTGGTAGATCCAGGATGGGAGAGGTGCTCTGTCAGGCATTGCAGTCCCAAATTCTACAGGGCTTTATAGGCTAAACCAGGCTCAGAAGCATACAGGTAGCCTGTGAAAGCAGGCCAGAATTGGGTTAGTCTGGCTGAACAGCTTGCCCATTTATTGCAATGCAACACTGCAGCGAGACTTGTGGTGTACACTAGTGCCAAGAGCTGTGAAACTGAACTATCAAGCAAGCCCTGTAACACGGTTATAATATGGAATGATCCTGTTCAGGAAGCCAGCCAGCCAGCCAGCCAGCCAGCCACGTCCCAGGATACTCCATTTCCCTTTTCATTCAAACTGTTTGCCAGCATTCTCTGTCCACTAAGCAGTCTTACTTCTGCTGGTTTTAGGATCCTCTCCTTGAGAGTTTCTTTCCTAAAAATCTTTTGGTACATCTGTAAAACATCATGTTCTTTCCAATTATCTCTCACAAAATCTCTTTTTGGGCACAGACAGGGATGTTAAGGCCACACACCTATCCACACTGCAAGCATGTGTTTGCTTTAAATATGCAGGTTTGTTGTGTTTGTTTGTTGGTTGTGTTTGTTGTGTAATATCCTCTCCCTCCATGCACAGAGCTCAGGGTGACTACATAAAAAACACTACAACACAAGGTTATACTTATTTTTAGTTGTATATTTGTTTCAATGTGAGAAACTAATATGGGCACCTTCATTTTGGTTTCTCACATTAGTTTCACTTGGGAGGCATTGCTTTGCAAATGGATACATTCCTCAAACTGACAAGAGGTACTGCATTGCAAATGGATTCATTCCTTTGTAGAAAGCTCTGTACAGCACTCTTTGCAAAGCTCAAAGGGAGTGGGGAACTGAGAGGCTGTGAAAGTGACACAGCATGCAAACTCTCCAATCTGAAACCAACCAACCAACCAGTCCACCCCCAAAACCATTAATTCAATGTCTGCAAGAAATCTCCAACAATCAAATGGAATCCTTTGGTTCAAGCCATCTGGAAGATGGAAAGTGCGATGCACTGAGACAATAGTAGAATGCCTACAAACTTTATGCCTTTTGTATGGAACTGTAAGTTACAAACAGGAGAAATGTACCTGACATTTAAATTTAAACCAATGAAACACAATCTATTCTTTATTAACTTGCTATAAAGCAGGTGCCCTTTGTCCTGGGCAGAGCAATTCTATGGCCTCTAGACATCATCTAGGGAGTCATGGGATTTTAGAAGTCCCAGTTCCAACCTTGGAAGAGGGCTATGATCTTAGAGCTGGGACTCTAGAATCAAAGCAAGTCAGGATCTGGGCAGCTTCAGGGCTCCTCCTGCTCGCCAAACGCCAGAATAACAGCCCTGGAAGTTGCAGGATTAGTCCAAGACTTTGCTGCAGCTGCCAGGGCCTTCACAAACGCCACCTGGGATCTCTGGGGGAAGAGCTATTTAAGAAGTGCTCTTCCTGCCAGAAGCTGCCTTAGTAACATTGGCTCTCAGTGTGCTGAAGTGCTCTGGCTCCAAAGGTATTCCTGCCCTTGCGCTATCCTCTTGGCTCCTGATCTCTGGCTGGTTTTGACTGCACTTTGCTATCTGGACTATGCTTTGTTTGGTTCCCTGTTTGCTTCTGGTTTGACCGTGGCTTGCTCTCGATAATGACCTGGATTTGGCTGGCGAGTCAACTTTGGTCATATGGTCTACTGACTGCATTATCTGGGTGCTGGTGCCTCTTTTCAGCTTTCTGCCACCCACGCCCCGGACCTCACAGACCAGCATCCCCACCCAGAGCCTCTGCTGAAAGAGTGCTACTAGCTGGTTGGTCATCGATTCAAAGGGAAACTGCGGCTGAGACATTCAAAGAAGACTGCGACTGGTAAGGGCAGCAATGAAGGAACTAGAAAAGATCATCAAGTGTAAGGACATTTCACTGGAGAACAAGCCAAGATCATCCATGCTATTGTATTCCCAATTACTACATATGGGTATGAAAGAAGAACAATGAAGAAAACTGACAGGATTGAAATCAATGCATTCAAAACATGCTGGGGGGAGTTTTGCAAATACCCTCGACTGACAAGTGGATCAAATCAAGGCAGAGCTTTCCCAAGAAGTAAGAATGACAAAACTGAGGCTGTCATCTGTCATGCGTATCATGAGAGGGAAAAACTTAATGGGGAGGAGAAGTATGTTAGGGAAAGTTGAAGGCAGAAGATGAAAGGAAGAGCTAATATGAGATGGATGGACTCCATAAAGGAAGCCACAGCCTTGAGCTTGGGAGAGCTGAATGGAGCCATCAAGGACATTTTGGAGGGCTTTGATTCATAGGCTCACCATAGGTTGGCGACAACTTGACAGCACATGACAATAGGAACAGCAACAAAAAGCACACCACAGTGTTAGAAAAAAGCAAAGGCAAGGAAGGTAAAATTAATAGGCAAAACTATTTAAAAATGCAAACAGTTGAAGAGACACTGAAATTGTCAAAGAGAGTGGTGAGGAAAAAAGAAAGGATGAATTTGGTCTATGGAAATGACATGAAATGAAGATCTATTGTTCAACATTAAGCAATGGAAGAAAACATTTCAAGCAAGCATACAAAAAATGATTGCCACGTATTTTATATACTTAAAATATTCTTAGCTGCCTTTTAGAGTAGAACCATCTGAAGGCATTTCACAAGATAAAATTACTGCTGTGGCAAATTGCATAAACATAAAATGCTCTCATCCCTACAAAAGAGGATTTTTCCCATGGTTTTTGTCTTTGCAAGGTACAGGAGAATTTCAAAAACTAATCACAGAGTTTCGGGGAGACCATGATCAGTCTTGGAGCATTCCACCAGCGGCTGCCCAGCTGAAAGCCCCTTTAAAAAGGTTTGGCAGTACTGTGAAAAAAAGCAGATAATTCAAAAGCTTTTAGGATTCAGTGGTCATCATGTGGTCTCTTGGGCATTCCAAGAGGAGCTGCTAGCTGTACGCTAAGAGCACCACAGTGCTAGGACAGCAGGCAGAGCTTCTTAAAACTTAAATAGCAATACCCCACCACCTCCATGTTTGAAACTTACTGCTTAAGGAGATCTTTGTGAATACCCTGGACAGAAAGATGAATATGTAGGTCCTACATCAAATTGAGCCAGAGCTTTTCCTAGAAGCAAGAATGACAAAACTGATGCCATCATGCTTTGGACACATCATTAAAAGGCAAGACTCCCTGGAGAAGACCATCATGTTAGGGAAAGTCGAAGGACCAAATATGAGATTGATTGAATCCATAAAGGAAGCCACTGCCTTGAACCTAGAAGAGCTGAGCAGGGCATTCGTGGACAGGATATTTTGAAGGGCCTTCACTCATGGGGTTGCCATAAGTCAGAGACAACTGGACAAAAAAGCACCACCATCATCTAGGCTTAAAAAGTAAACTGAAGCCAGGCCCTGCACTAGAAAATTCCAAAAAAATAGGTTTGAAGTTTTTTGGCACAGCACTAATATAAGCCATGCATCAATAAAGGTCAGAATAAATAACAGTCAGTTTCAACAAGAAAACAGATTTCCATGCCCCCACAAAAACAACAACACTGCAATCAAATCATGAACAGGCCCATGCAAATATGGAAAGTAAAAGGGTGTCGACAGTTTTCCCGAAGGGCTTTAGTGATGGGTCATGATGCTCTCCAGTTGGGAACGCCTTCCTGAGGCTGCCTATGAAGTATGTTAGGAACAGACAAGCACACATCTTAGGATGTTCTCTACCTTCTTCTCACATGGAAGAACCAATACTGTTCGCTCTGTCCGATGCATATGACTAGGCAGTAACAATTCTTGTATAGAGATTTGGACTACAGCCTGTGCATTTAGAACTGATTCGTCACTTCTGTGTGGAGATATTTTGGTTCTTACATGCCTCATAAAATGCAAATAACATCATTTATGTAGAGGATTGCTTAAGAGCACGCAGTTATGACTTTGGCAACCCATGGATTCATTGTATGCAATTCCAGCCTGTGTGCAGAGGGCTTGTATCTCTGCTTCTGCTCCCATATGCAATATGGGATAGATGATAATGGCCTATTTCAATGGCCTACTAAATCAGCTTCATTCCAAGTTACTGGGTCATAAACCATAGCATTCCTTTCAAATGCCAGGGAGAGGCAGCAGACAGGGGTGCGGGGGGATGATGCATCTGTATCACTTGTTATTATAAAAGTGAAGCTTAAACCAAATCATGGCCCATTTGCTTAGAATGCTAAATTCAATTGAAGCTACTCTCTAATATGCATGCTTAGGACTTGGGCATACCCCTTCATTTTTCTGAGATTATTTACTATTCACTTCAGTGGGACATAGCCTCAAAAAAGCAGACAGAGACGGGGCTGTTATTCTGCACCTTCGGTCCCACTGAACTCAATGGGAATTCCTTCTAGTAGGTGTGCAGTTCTGTTGAACACTTGAGCAAAATGTAGTTTTGCAGTTCATTGCCTATGCAACTTTTCAGAAGATGTTCACAAGCACAAATTGGAGCTACTCCCCAAATTGCCATGCATGTCATCTAATAAATGATTCAGCTGCTTTCACTCAAGGCTGCATTTTATTGTTTCAAGTGTGTATGTGTGTGTACATTAAAGAAGCATTTTCTGAGCATGGCCAAGAACAGAGCTTTAAAAATTAGATCTATATTAAAGTGCACTTTAGAAGACAACCTAGTAAATAAAAGTTTGTAAGTAACTCAAAAGGAGATATCAGCACCAAGTGTAAGTGCTTGTATCTCATTTATAAGTTAGTAATATTAATGTTCCCAGGGCAAAGGGAAAGCTGAGCTCTCTTTAAAGCTTTTTATTTCTATATTTTTATTAGAAATCTAATATAGCCAGCACTTGAGTCAAAATTTATTCTCAATAGGTGGGAAAATACTTCTTTAAAAACACCACAACTACATGGTTTGGACTCCGAACCAACCATCTTTTCAAGTACCAACTGGAAATTACAAGTATTAAGCCCTAAATATTTTTAACCAATAATTCTGCCAGATGCTCAGAGCACGAACTCTCCTAAAATTAACACAGCAGGTGAAATTTAATTTGATAAAAAATAAAAAGTAGTAGGTTTACAGAAGTCATCCTGCTGGGAGCATATTATGGACATTGCTGCTATGCTATGATGACAAACTAAACATGATTCTCCACAGTCCAAAGTGATTAAGCTTTTGTTTCATTTAATAGTTTCACGGCCTAAGCAAAATAAACAGCCCTTTTGACAGGCACTTTTTAAAAACCAGCGTATGCGGATGGGAGGAAATGTTTTCTGGCCTCTCTGGAATTAATAGTTACAATTTGCTGTTGGATATTCTGCTGGGGTTCGCGCTGTCTCCATTAGTGTCAAAATCATCCCATTTCAGAATGACAATAAAGCAAAGAGAATATTTCTTGCTACAGAAGTGCCAGCACTCAAATGTTTATATTTATGGGGTGAGCTTGCATTGGAAGGCAGGCAAGTGAAGAAGAATGGCTGCCCATTCCGGGTGTTTTATATCACTATCGTAAAGTTTAACAATATTTAATCCTAACTTCATTACCCAGCACCTGGGGAAAAGTATCACAATCACTGCATTATTATTTATTACTCTGATGACTCTTAAATGTATAGAGGGCTTTGAACTTGATATCTGGTTCACCTTGTGAGGTAGCTTGTATACTACTTGGTTTTCCAGCAGGGAAGGAGTGCAGACAGCAATCTTCCCAGTGGAATACCTTGAACCCACGTTTCCCATAAGTGAATTCATGGTGTTTGTACCATTTCAGAAAGACTGTCTCCCTACTGAATTCTGAACAGCTGATAAAAAGTAGCTTCACTGTAGGCCCCATTTAATTCAATTGTAGTTAAGTATTTACGTAGGCAGTGGCCTCCATTCTCTTTTTGGGGAGGGGTCAGTGGGCACATTTGGGAGAGCAGTAAAGGGCACATTCACAAAATGGTTGCCATTGGGGGAGGTGACCTGTTCATAAAATGGCTGCCATGGAAGGCAAGGCCACTACTACCACCACCAGGGCACTCCAAATCCAAAGTGCAAGGCAGAGGTGAAAGTCTGAGCTCTAACTCACAAAGCCACTCTTTTTAACTGATCCCAATTAAATAAAGATGGGGCTGGAGCACAGCTTTTCATTTCCCACATGACAGCATTCTAGTTACTTGTTTTAATTACTTAAAAAAAATAATATAAAAACGGGAAGGTCAAGGAGCTTGGCCACCATAGCCACACAATATTTTAGCACACAAAATGCTTGTTGATTCTATCTAATGTGTTCAGAGTATTTTGCACTAAGTCAAATGGTCTACTAGTCCATGATGCTCAGGCTAGCTGGAGAATTGTGAACTAATGTCCTCCACATCCAAACCCACCACCATTTCCACTGCATAACACCAAGTCTGGCCACATCAGCCGCAGTTGCTTCCATATAATATACTTACGATGAAAGGTCTGAGTTGTGATCCTGACCACACAGTTATAAATAAGCTCCAGTTTAAAAAGCAGTAGAATATTCACCTGGAATGGAGTACTGCATTGGAGGGCCAGTACTTCACTCAGCATGAATCTGTGACATTCTCTCACCACCCTCTCCTGATGGTGGCACACCCACTCTGGTGAATGAGATGCTGGGCATGTGACAATCCTGCAGCATCCTGGGTCCTCTATAATAGGTTCGTCTGTATCTCCCCTTCACTGCGGCCCTCTGGATACCTCGCCAACTAGAAACATCCTCTTTGTACAGAGTTTCTACTATATGTGCAAAATGCAGTACATTCTGGTTCACTGTTATTTCTGGCCCTGCTGGCAAGGATTGAGATTCATGTTGGATAGCAATTTCTCCCCTGCAAGTGACAAGGGATATGCCCAGAGCCATCCATTTGTTTAAGTACCTTTGCAAGCCAAATTATCATGCATCCATGAACATCTTAAATACCCATTCAACAAAATACTACTTTGACATTGTGCTGCAAACAGTTTTAAGAGCATTCTTAAGGCAATGCAACACTATAAACATTTTACAGGGGTGTCAGTGGGTTGTTCTTGTTTTAACCCCTGGTTCCAAGGACCATTTGAGGACCATGTTGAAATATCAATGGCAATAGATGCCTAGGTCACCAACCAGGCTGGCTGCCCTTGAGCCTCTGGACTTGGAGGGTTATGGGCATCCAGTGGAAAGGAAAGGAACTGCAGAGGCCAGGGCAGCCTCCACACAAGCCATGCCCCCCAAAATATTTGGGGAGTTGATTTTAGCAATCTCTGCATTTCTCCCCTCTTTGCAAAGGAAGTCCTCCCTATTCTCTGGCCACCTCTCCACAGTGCCAGGAAGCTATAGGATTTTGTCCATGATCTATTTAATGTTCAAGAGACAACTCATATGTATTCATTATTCAAAAATAAAAGTAAACAAAGCAGGGGAAGTATCCACATATTAAGAAAGATGCCGATGCAGTAATAGAATAACTTCATCTTTTTATATGGTTCCTTGACAGAAGCCAAAAGACCTTGGCCATAAATTTGATTGGTATCTGGTACCAAAATACTCTTTCTCATCTACAACCCCACATAATCTCAGCTGTGAGAATACCCAGCCCCTTTTCATTTGTTCTGCAGTCTCAGCTTCACATCCACAAATTCAAGCCACAATTTTAATATGTCAATATAAACTCTTTTATTAATGGACACAGCTCTATATCTGAGCTAGGCTGGTATTCAACTTAATAAAGTTGAGACAAAAATCTATGTAGACTATATCAAATAACAATTGATATAAAGACAAAGTTCTGGCAGCATGAATGTCAGCGAGCCACTTGGGGACCCAGCAATATTAGAGAATAAAACTGCACACAAAGCCTTTACACTTAGGTAATATGTTGTCCATTGTGTGATCTTTATTAAAAAAATAAATGTGACTCAGAATTCCAGGTCACTTGCTTTGCTTCATTGTCACTGATGTGAGGCCAATAGTTAAAGATCAGCTGTGAGATTTGAAAAGTCTAAATAAAGTGACCAAAGAACTATAAAACTGAAGGAGGATGGCTTTATATGCTGTTTATTGTAACTCATCTCAGTCCAACAACCCTGGTGTGCATCTGGGGGCTTGAACATAAATTGCTGCACACCAAGAGCGGTTGTTAATGTCTTTTGAAATGTCATGCAGATGTTAAATGTATATGCTGTATAGGCACAATATTGCAAAGAATGGTGCAGAGCGGCACATGCACGCTGGAGATGCAGGTGGTTCGGGATCACAGCAATCAGGCGCCGACACAATGAGAGCACTGATTTAGAAATGCTTTGAAATCTAGTCTAAGTCTGTATTTCATCTTACTGCTTTTGCTACAGGGTAGCAATAGAAAGGGAGGAAGCTGAAAGGTGATGAAACAATGTCTATTGAAAAATCTTTCATCATGTCAGATCAGATGTTGGCTCTAGATGCTCAGGTGTTCGCTGTCTGGCACATGTGCAAAATTTATCTATCTATCTATCTATCTATTTATTCATTTATTTATTAAAACCTTTTCTATCCTGTGCTCTACAGAATGTCTCGGAAAGGCTTACAATAATTTGCCATATAAAAATTTGCACACAGAACAATTAAAAAAGGACATCACAGGGTAGTCTATCATAATAAAAATACTCACGTGGATAATCTTTGGGGTGTGATTTCTCTGACCAGTTTCCATAGAAGGTAAGCCTGTATTTTGCAGTTCCACAGGCACAGCAATCGACAATTGGCTTATCGGTCACGCCCTCCAAGGTTGAGTCTACAAGGAAGCAGTGGAAGCCATTATTTGACTATACAGTAGTGCCTTGGCTCACGAACGTCTTGGTTCACTACCAAATCGGGTCACACACAAAAATTTCATGAAAATTTTGACTTGGGTTGCGAACTCTGCATTGAGTGGCAACTAAGATCACAGCCATCTCCCCACCCGCACGAGTGAGGAGATGGCTAAGATCATGCAGGAAAGATGGGCGTAATCTCGGCCATCTCCCCCCACAACCAGCACAATCGTGGCCATTTCCCCATGCCACCCCACCTCGAGTCGCAGTTGTGTTTGTGCAGGGAAGACATAGAGGAGCTGATGACAGAAGAACTTGCTGAACTCCAGAGTGAGCAGCAGAAGGCACTTGCTGAGGAGGATTCCACTGAGGAAGAGGAAGACAGGGAGGAGGTTAGCAGTGATGTGATACAATCCATTATGAAAAAATGGAATGAGTGCCAGGATTTCTTTGAGAAGCACCGCCCAACATAACTGTAACGAACAGAGTGTTGAATCTTATGAATGATAACATGGTCTCTCATTTTCAAAGAGTTATGCAGCGCAGGAAAAAACAAGTGACTACAGACAGATTTTTCACCAAAATTGACCCTGCAGCTAAGAGACAAAGAAGAGAGAAAAGCCCTGAAAGAGATTTCCCCAATGTCCTTACGGAGGAGGACTCTCTCTCAAAACAATAACCTCCCCTCCCCACCTAGGTTAGTGTTTTCCACTGTACTGTACAATACTTCGTTACTTTGTTGTTCTTTGTCACTTTGTTTCAATTTTTTCTGATTAAAAAAATAGTTACAGAACGGATTCACCTTATTTACATTGAACCTTATAGGAAAATTTGACTTGACTTGCGACCAAAAATTGGCTCACAATCACATTCAGAGGGGCCAGAATGGATTAACCTTATTTACGTACATTGAATCTTATGGGGAAATTTGACTTGGGTCACAACCAGAGTCGTGGAACAGATTAAGTTCATGAGCCAAGGTACCACTGTGCAAGCAATTTTAAAGGTGTAGCATCTGAATATGCTTTATTCAAATAAATCTACAAATAAATCAAAGCATAAGTATAATGAATTGGTTGGAAAGTTTAGATCCCATGATCTGCAGACAAGGCTGTTATCACTTCAGTTTTAGTTAACATCAGTTTTGCTGAAAATACTGGCTTAATTTTATCATAAAGCTGTAACATGATTTATCATTGTATTCAACAATCAAGTATCCGTGGATTTATTTCTTACATTTACATCCAGCCTTTTTCCTCTGGCAAGGAATCGAGGTGGTGTACCTGATCCTCCTCCTCCTCCTATTTTATCCACACAACAGCCCTGTGGGGTAGGTTAGGCTGAGAGTGACTGGGTCAAAGTCACCCAGTGAGCTTCCTGCATGAACGGGAACTAGAACCTGGGTTTTCTGAGGCTCAGTCCAACATTCTAACCACTACACCACCCTGACTTATATTTGAAGATACATCTGACACATGTATTAAATGTAGGTGAGGCAAGACAGCGACTTCTTGCTGCCTTGTCAGACAAGATAATATTCTTCCATTTCAACACTGATTGTCCACATAATGGACCTTCCAGCAGAGAGAAATCCTTCACATAATCATGCTGCAATTCTAATACAGCCATAATCTTAAGCAAATGTACCTGGGACTTTACACTAATGGGACTTACTTCTGACTACATATTCATAGGACTACCCTGTAAAACACAAGTATTGCCTGTCTAGACTAAAGCCAATGCCTGTTTCATTAAGCAGTGTTAAAACTACTCTGCTAATTTGCACCAAGAAAGTGTCATTTGAAAGACCATGGCATGTAGCCAATTTGTATAAAGTTTAATTTAACAGATGCTGATCACAGACTGTGGAAATGAAATTTACTCTGTCACCCCTCTGCGTGTCCAAGCCCCCTACGACATTGGAATGGATCATTTATGTGCTACTGAGCAGCACTCGCCAACCATGGGCTGACAAGATAGTTTATTATCATGATTAGTGTAAAGTGTACTTATGAACCAGGACCAAGTGTTTCCAGCAGTACTGAACACTGGAAGAGAAAATTCAACAGGGTCATGTACAGAAATATTGAATCACGTTGCATGCTTCCATTTGCCTTAGCGCAGGATTACTCTTCCTCATTACTAAGACTCCAACATTTAATCTATTAAGCAATTAGATTAACCATGGGGGGAAAAACCTTTTAAGTTAATTAAAAAGATACTTTGATGAAGCAGCAGATGGTTTTGTTTTATTCTATTTGCAAAAATCAATTATTTTTAGCATTTACAAAAACCTTAGGAGAAATATTCTCCTTTCCCTCACTGCCCCTTCTGAGAAAAGGTCTAGTGCAGCGTGTGAGAACTTTATCTAAAAACAACGCTGGCCTGTTCTGCAAGCCCTTTGCACCATTTGATGCCCCATTTAGAGAAGACCCAGACATGTGCAACCAGAAGTCCTGCCGCCCTCTGAGGGGACTGCATCAGTTCCATTTCCACAGCAGGGGATAGGGATGGGGAAAGCAAAATCCACATATGACGTTTTATCACTTTACAGCACACAAGTACTAATCAAGACAGAGGGTGGGATGTTAATAAGAATATAATTTATACTTTAAAGTACCATTTCTTCTTTAAATGACTTGAATGCTGTCGTTGTTTATGTGAAGCACCTGCATCTTAAGCTACTGCTGGTTTGCTTAAGAATTCAAATTAACAAAGTGTTTAAAGAGAGCTCCATGGAGGCTAATTTGCCCCCCTTGTCCCGTGTTTGCTTTTTATGTATGGACTCATTTCCTCTTGGTGCCTAGCTAGTTGATCAAGCTCCTGAGGATCAAGCACAATTCTTTCCCCTTCATCTTGAATATTGCTAAGGGGCAGTGTGAGAGGGCACAGGGAAGGGAATCCAAGGGAGGGGAGACTGGAGGCAAATGTTCTAGGTCGGGGCAGCGGCAGGGCAAGGGGGAGGCCTGGGGTTTCACAGATGACTCTGATTCTTCTGCTGCCTTGTGTCACTTGTGCCGTAGCCCCTTACAACGCAAGCACCAAGGCAGGCTGCAGCACCTCCACGCTGACTCCATACGGTAGTCAGCACAGTACAAGAAAAAAGCCATGGAGAGGAGCCATAATGCAGGGAAAGATAACATCACATGCCTAACATGATGCTATACTATAGGTGGTAAGATGCACTTTCTTGATGAGCATGTGCAACAATTTGCATATGCACAATGAGATTCCAGGCTAATATACTGCTTTCATCTGAGACTGAATGGAGGAATTTATAACTTAACGGGCAAATTACGATTTCTCTTGGGGTAGGTTCACCTTTCACCACTTATCACCCAGTCATCAACTGATGCTTCCTTCAGGTGATTAAGTTCTGACAGCAGGGGTAAGTTTCACTGGAAGTTACGGAGGCACAGTCCAGCAAGAAGACAACACCTCTTCTGACATCCAGCCTTTGAATAAGTGATCCATTGCCTCAACAACTTCTAGTTGCATTAATCACAACTAGAGTATATTGTAAACAAATGCCCATTTTAAAACCCATATTTTAAAAATTGCTTTAAAAGGAGGCATTCAAACATGTTTCAATGCAGAAAGAAAGAACGAACTCCAATTTTCGATGAGTGCTTTTCTACTTTTAATGCTTCTTTCGATTTCTCTGTATTCAAGAACATGAAACAGATGTCTCCATTTCATTTACGTAACTTGCTCCAGTGACTTCATTGAGTGCATTCCCCATTCGCAGCATAAAGAGCTGTTTCCAACTGACTGCAATCTGCATTTCTAAATGGACCCAGAAAGTGAAAAAGCCTGCCCAGTGTCAACTATGTCATATACATTAAATTCAATTAAGCATCTTGCAGCACACACTTCAGTGTCTTGAAAGAGAGAAGACACAAATTAAAGTCAAGGCCAGATTATGCTAATCCTGGATCCTTGGGTGTAGGGGAAAAGATGAAGGCCAGGCCTGCTTAGTTTGACAGTGTTTTCTGAAGGGATAGAATGAAAGGAATAAGGGTAAAAGGAGCTTCTGGTCATTATCTTTCTGTTGTGGCACAAACAAATTGCTGCTCTTTTCCAAGGGAGCCTGGGAAGCCTTCTCTGAAAGACTTACGCATACAATTATGCAATTTGGATGGAATTTCCAAAGAAATGATGCATCAGAAGGATGTGCATTTTCAGTAATTCTAGGTGAAGTGCCCTGTCAGCAGAAAACTCCATTGGGAGGGTTTGAAGAAAACCATACAAAAAGTGAAAGTATTGGAAATGAAATTCCAGATACTTGAACAAGAATGGGATGTTTGCTGCCCAGTAGTTTCCTACTCAGAATTTCACATGGAAGTCAGAAACTACCAAGGATGAAGGTTTGTTCATCTCCACCCCAAACACACATTCAGTGATTGCAAGGGTGGGAAATGCACGGTCCTCCAGCTGCTGTGGGAATATGACATCCAGCATCGCCAGTCAGCATGGCCAATGACATGGGATGATGGGAGCTGTGGCTGAACAACCTCCACAGGGCCACATGTTTCCCACCCTGCACTAGAAGGGGAGTGGATGGTGTCTCAGGCCATACTTCTGATGCCAGTGTTGACCGTGGGCACTGCACATGTGGCAGCAACCAGGTCTGGGGCAAGCTCTCACTGAGATGGGAGAGAAGACGGGGGGCAGCACTGCTACCACCAGCACCTTTTCGCACCTGCCCCATCCTGGGATGCCTTACTTTACCTTTGCTGCTGCTGCTGTATGAACAGCAACATAGCCAGAAGAAGTAGCCACATGGTTCCTGAAAGACGGCACTTTCATAGCAGCCCTTGTCCTTGCAGCAGTGCCTGTGGACTACGTGGAGATCTCTTGAACCTGTGAGATCTCTTGAACCACTTGTTATGGCCAAGTGTGATGAAGGATTGAGAAGCTGGGAGGCTGCTCTGGAGAAACCCACTGCTTGTCATCTCACTATGAAAGACGCCACTGCTGAAGAATGATTGGCGGGGCTCTCCACATGGGTGGAGGAGTGGAGCGGAGTGGCGCGATTTGCTGCTCCTCCTGCTCCACTGCCCAACTGGTGCCTCCCCCTGCTTCATGGGTGGGCTGGCCCTGCTAGTAGAGCAGAAGCCCTGAGCACACACATCATGCCCCAGGTGCTCTGAATACACGGTTCAGGGATACCTGCTGGTATCTGTCAGTGCCTAAGGACTCCTTCCACAGTATTGTTGCATGGAAGTGTGAGTAGGTATGCCAGTAATGGGGTGGAGTCAGTGGGCATCCCCTCCTCCGCTATCTGCAATTTCTGCCCACATGAGACAGGTACCTTGACACAGTCCCTTCAGCCATTATTAAAGCATACAGCATCTTTCATGAGTGCTTTCAGCGAGAAGCCTGAACGAGGAACTAGCGTTTTTGCAGAATGCACAGAAGTCAGTGATACTGGGCAGACCAGAGGCACAACTCACTCAAACTTCCATGCATTGAGTGAACAAGTGAAGGCGCACTTGTGAATAGACCTTAAGTGTTCAAGCAATGACATCGAAAAGTCTTTCTTAGCATTGCAAAGTAAACCTAAGCATGCAAAATGAAATGCACGCCCGTGCAAGCAAACTGAATGGCCAGGGCATCTTTGGACTTATTTACATAATCCCACCTTTTTGCTAGTTTGTTTAACTTGTATTGTTTTATCATGAGTAATGTCATATTACTAACATCATCAAACAAAATAAACATTAACAATACAAAACTATATTCCCATATTTTTCTATATTTTGTAGGCATGATGGTGGCCTGTCCATCTTCTGGCTTCCACTCTTTCAGTCTTTATTTCTGGAATAACTTTTGCAGGGACTGTTATAGTTCTTGGTTCTTTAATTTATGAAATAAATACTTGAAAGCCAGTTTTCCATGAATTGGCAATATTCATATTCATAATCCGCTGTACAACTCTACTGTGATGAGTTAACCTTTCAAGGGTGCATCTTTCCATATATTGCTGAACTGCTGTTTAATTCTATGCTGTGTGAAGAAGCACTTCATTTTACTGTCCTGAATCGCCCTCCGGTAAGCCTCATGAGAAGACCCTGGATTCTAGAAGTATGGGAGAGAGAGAGAAATGTCTCTTTTTCCATTTTCTTCACAGTGTTTTGGAGTATCAAGAAATTTAACCTTTTTATTACAACTGGAAAATGCATTCATCCAGTCAATGCAGGGATATCCATTATTAAAAACCCTCCTTATTTGGAAGAGTCTCTGATTTTGTTTTCCTTCTCAATGTCACCCTGAACATTCTGTTCTGCAGGAAGATGGCATGTTCCTAGTACTAAATTATTTTTGGAATCCACCATTAGTACACGCATTAGTACATGTGAAAGATTTTCTCATCTGCCTGGTGTCATGTTCAGAGAAATACGTCCTTCAGTACACCTTTCCTGGTCCTTTCTTTCAGTTTAGCTGAGATAGTCCTGAAGGACTCCTTGGACCACATTCTATCCGAACTACCTCCATCAATTTGGCATCTTGGGTTATCATCATATTCACTCCAGACCATCCAGACTATAAGCGATTGACACCACATAAATGGGGTTTTCATGACTATGCTTCCAATGTCAGAATTGAAATTACTTCCAGATATTCTTCTGAACATAGCAGTGATTTTATTTGTGGAGGATGCATTCATATAGTACACTTCTCCATACGATTCTTGAACCTGAGAGCACTGAAATCATTGGAAGGAATTGTGCTCAGGATATGCCTAACACTGGTATAACATTTACTGTTTGCAGAATCAGCCTTCTCAAGCCCAAACATTATTCCATGGGCTTGAAAAAAAAAAAAAGTAGCATTTTCTTAGAAATTACTTAGAATCACAAGGCTATCTTTTGATCTTGTTAAGTCACCCCTTTTTCTTTTGTTAGTAATTTGGGACTGAATTCTGTTCCAGGCCCATCAGACCTTGACTCCCTCCATATTTATATTCAGTCAACCAAGCAAACTTTACTGCTGATTTATGTAGGCCTGACTTTCCTTGTTATTCAGTCCTAAATCATGTGGAATGCTCATTCCAACATTTACAAGGCTGCAGTCTTAGTCACACTACACTGGAGTTTCCATGTGATTTAGACCCGGCCTACTTAGATGAGTACTGACTGAATGTGGCAAAGTTTTTTAAGAGTGGAACAAAACAAAAACAACATCAAAAAAGGAATAAAATCAGAAGATTGCCTTGAGGCTGTAACTAATGTATACATTTACAAGACTGCAAAAGGAAACTCTTACACTGAAATCTGTATGACTTAAATTTTATATTTTGTTTGTTTGTTTGAGCTTTATATACTGCTCCATTTCCATAGGCTCTGGCTAGTTTGTATAAGTTCAGCAGACTTCTACTTTGCCTGCCAGACAGAAACACTCATGTGCCAGAGCTACTTTCTTGCAAGCCGTTTTGGTAGATCATGTTAGCAGGTGGAGACAAAAGGATGCAATCATGGAAAAGAGAGTGAATAATGTCCATCATACCTTGTTCGCATAGCCTTTTGGTTAGAGACCCTTCATCTTGAAAATAAATAATGCGTTTCTGCACAATACTTGCTCTGTTGGAAAGATAGAAAAGATAGCATTCAAAAATACATTCAAGACCTAATAATATTCAAGAGTGCACAGAAATATATTCACTGATAAACTCAATACCAGTTCACCTGTAAAACCTCAGTCTGGTCTCCACCAGGTTTATTTAGTATTCCCCATCAGCCTACAATGATATACAATTTGTTGAGAGTGTCAGGGAATGCACAGATCAGCAGTATGTACGGGGGAACCAGATGCTCTTCTCCACGTCTTCCCCCGCCAGAGCCCAGAGAAGTTCTGGAGGGATGCCTGGTCTTGCCTTCCTTAAAGGCCCCCAGCTCATTTCACATGAAAATACCTTAAGGACAAATTGTCCATTAGAAACCTCAAGAAAAGATCATAGTGATCATACTGCTTGTTCCAGTTAGGAATGTGTGAATGGGTAATACTCAGGCTCATAAAGATTCTTCAGATTTCATCTTAGTGTGCAATCTGACATGAGTAGGAGTTGGAACAAGCTTTGTTTCATTCTGTCTTTTTTTCACATGAAAATGAATGCATATTTTCATAGGCATTTTCCCATTGTACAAATCAACTGAACACATTTTAGAAACTCATGCATTTTCTCCCACTGATTCACGAGTGTTTTTCAAATGCCTTTCCTTTGTCTGGCAAATTACATCACAAGCTTGGAAATGCATGGATGTTTACCGCATACTGATAACAAACATCTCAAGAAGAGCCTTAGAACAAACATCAGGAGCACCTTTCCCCCTATATTCTGCCTCACCTGCTAAGCTTCTCTGGGGATAGTCTTCTGAAGTTTGCTTCCGTAAACTGCCCAGAGCCTATGAGAATAGGGTGGTGTGGGCGTGCATGTGTGCATGTATCCATAAAAATAAAGAAATAAATAAAGAAGAGGTAATATACCATGAAAAGTAGATAAGAGGTTTACTTATGATTTAGGAAGTAACTGGTTTGCATTTCATTTCATTTCGTCTCTGGCATGAATTTTCTTAGGAAGGCTACTTTCCAACAATATCGCGAGCATTTATGTTTCCGCTGCTTCTCTTCATTCCTGTGGTACTGACTATAGTTTTCCCCTGCCTGTGTCTTATGGGGTCTACCTTTATTTTATTCTTTCTATGATTTATTTCTTATATTTCTAGACTGAAGGTCTCAAGAAGTTCGCAGCACTAATTGCATGACCTCTCCTTGTCCATCACAATTCAACAGAACTGATGCTGTTCCACTGTCCTTAACTCCATCACCACTTATAGTGGGTGAACATAGGATGAAACTTAATTGTCCAGATTTAAACTTGGCATCCACAGATAAGAGTTAAAAATGGTCTCTTATTATTTTGAAGCTCATGAAAAAATCCCTGCCAGAACACAAGCAGAAAAGGATCTGAAAAGTAAATCTGGAAAAAGAACTATATTTGTATATGTCCAGGATAGCCATAAACTGCTAGATCTAGTATCTATGAAATATCAGAGAGTCGTTTTGCAAAGTTCAGTGAGGCTGAAGAATTAGGTAGGCACAAACATGGAACAGAAGTAGAGAGTGCAAAGCAAGGTTTTAGGAGTCCATTTGCTATCATTCCTTGCTCTGCAAATTTTTCATTGACACGAATGCACTTTGTATGATATTGCAAATGCTAACATCATTGTTTTGATCCAACAGCTGCCAAAACCACAGAAAAAATGTCTATAAAATGTACTCCCCAGCGCAAAAGTTCCTTCAAATTCCTCATTTTAAGAAGTCACATAAAATGTCAATTTCTATCCATGTTATTTGACTTTCTTTTTTAAAATACCAGATACAATTGGCATCTTTACACTGTTCTTTCATTTCTTCTAATTAGAACAAAAATAAATAAATCTGTTTTTTATCATGGAGTGGGGAGAAAGCATCTCAAGTAATATTTTACATCATTGTGCATGAAGCTTCATTTTAAGTGCAATGTACATTTCTTTAGCCTAAGTTGCTTTCAAGGAGAAGAAAGCAACTTAGGCTAAAGTTGCCTAGGAATGGAAAGGAAAACAGGGGCCCACCCTCTTTCCCTGCCCTTCCATATCTGAGGCCTTTCCCCCCAACACTAGGAGAAAGTTCTTATTTCCCTGACTGGCGACAGGGAAAAATTCTCCGGTCTCAGGCGGCTTCTGGCGGCTATAAGAACTTTCAAGGGCTGGTGGCTATAAGACGGGGAGAAGCAATCCCCTCCAAATAAGACCACAGCATTTTAAATAACAAAAGTTAAAATTTTACTGAAAAGACTAGACTGTTTTGATACTGGAATGGGTACACACACACACCACCAAAACAACAACAACATAGGAGCAATGGTATTAAGAAAAAAAGCAGCAATAAATGCTCCCAGCTAACCTATTTTATCTAATCCAAGCAATATTTTACTCTTGTTCCCGCTTTCTCAGATCTCCAGTTCAAGCAGTTCTGACTCTACAGGACTCTGCCTGCCTTACTTTTTCTTCTCTGCTCCTCTAACTTTCGCTTTTATAGTTATTTATTTATTTATATAAGATCTATGTACCGCTTTTTCTTTGTTAAAGAGCTCAAAGCAGTTCACATCATTCTCCTCTCACTGTCAATCTAATCCTCACAACAACTCTTTGAGGTAGGTTGCCCTGAGAGTCTGTTACTGGTCCAAAGTCACCTAGAGAGCTCCTTGGCTGAGCAGGGACTAGAACCCAGATTGTTTGCATTTCAGTCTATCACTCTCAACCACTGCAGCACACTGGCTGTTATACCACCACCACCACCACCATCACCACCACATTTTCTCCACTATTCAAACCAATCATTTTAATTTAGCATTTGTTTATACCCACTAAGTTTGTTTCCAAGTTAAAACTTTCTCTTTCTCTTCCCCTGCTCTCTAGAAGTGTACAGTCTCCTGTTTTCTGAATAAAACTTCCTGACCTCTATATTCCAACTATACTGTTGATCTCTAAACCAGGGGTCCCCAAGCCCCTGGATGTGGGCCAGTACCAGTCCGTGGCCTGTTAGGAACCGGTCCCTGGTGCCAAAATGGTTGGGAACCACTGCTCTAAACTACAGTAGACTCCCGGCCTAATGTGGCGGAAGGGCAGGCCAGATACCCAAAAAGCTGGATTGGCCGGAGTTCTACAAATGCTCACTTCCTACCCCACCCATACCATTAAAAAAAACCCTTTTTATACCAAAACCCGCTCTTATTCATATTTTCTGACCTCTTAGTACAGGCCAGTACTTTATAAATGTTTGTTATGTACTGTACTGTACGTTTTAAAAATTTATTACAGAAAAAGAAAGTCCAAGGATAAAAATATTGTACACATTTTAAGATAAATTTTATAATGTCTAACTTAATTGCAGGAAACAAAATCATGTACACTGTACAGTATGAATACATACACTTTTAAAATAAACAAAACATTAAAGTAAAACGTAGGCTTAATTCTTACAAAAAATATTTAAATTTATTTTACTGCTCATTGATAGTTATTTTTTAACTAGGCTGGATAGTACGGAGGCTGGATAGTTGCGAACTGGATAGTCAAGAGTCTACTGTATAAACTTTTGGTTGACACTGACTAGTACATACATGCAATTGTACGGACACACACACAGAGTTAACCCTGTAATATTGTAGAGACAAACGAATGTCAAAAATGGCAGGCAGTTTCTTCACACCTCTTTCACAGCTTCATCTGTGAGGTCTTGGTGATTAAAATGCACCCTGGGATAGTGCTCTGCATCTCAGCACTGCGGCCCTCAGAAAGATCAGCATGCTCATCAGCAGCCAGGAGGCAAGCTTCCACTGCCACTGCGTGACATTTTCACTTGTTCCCTGCTCTCATTTGACCTTTCTCTGCCTCTTCTGTTATCATGAAGTTTATCAAAAACTTAAAGGAAAATATTTAAGGCACTAAACAGTGCAATCTTATAATTTATATATGTACATGAAAAGCAAAGATGACTTGGAGAGATGTAACCCCAACAAAAACGTGCAGGAAGGGGCTTTGCCAATGGCCCAAATGTGCAGAAATGCATGGAAAGATCAACAAATGGATAGTTTTGCAAGCTGTTTTTCTATGTAAAAGTTTAAAAAGCATAACTGTATGGTGGGTGGAAATGGGAACAGCTATAGTTGGAGGAAGAAGTTCCCTACATGCACATTTAGAAAGATCAGAGGAATAAATTTATAAATAATCTCATAAACACATTTATGAAATGGCTTTGTTGGATGGTGCCAGTATCTTTTAGTCTAAGATTACTGTTCTGAAATTGTGTGCATGACTTTTTAAACTATAGTCCAAGGGTCATTTCATGCTATAGCAGTTCAGAGGTTTTCAAGATATATATAAAAAACACATATATTCCAGACCACAGACTGTATAAAAGATTAGCAATTTAGTGTATATGGAATGTGTGTGTGTGTTGTCACACAGATATAGCTATGACGTGTACTGGGATATGAACATCTGAAGACCACTTTATATGCTGAGATCATCTCCATCACCAACTATGTGTGAGTCTGTGGATGCTAAATGCACTGAAAGTATGTAGCACAAGATCATCCACAGTTCAGCCTCCTCTGGGGTTGTTTTTGAGTGTTCCAAAATGCCCCCAAGAGTCTCATAGAAAATTCCAAAGAGGTGGTTTGGTTTTACATCTGAAAAGTTTTCAACCAAGAAGAAAGAGTTGCTGGAAACTAGGAGAGAGAATGACACAGTATGGAGTGCATTCTTGTGAAGAAAACCATCAAAGCCAAAGATGCAGCGCTGCACTTCCCATATTTAATGAGCGGAAGAGGTCAAGGGTTGGTTAATTACAAAAATAACCTGGAATTAATCAGATGCTGTCAGCAGAAAGGGTCAAGGGTGAAAGCACTGGAATTTTGGATGCCGACCTTATTGGGGGTCAGGATCTCACACCATGTTTGCTGAGAAATTGTTCTTGACTACAGTTCACTGGATCCAAAGACGGTATCAAACGTGAAACTTTGTAAAAATGGTTCTGT